TCCTCAGCGTGACGTAGCTGCTCACCGGCGAATACGTCTCGTCGTAGTCGGCGCCGTACACCTGCGTGAAGCCCTTCACGACCAGCCTTGCCTTCTCGCGCTCGACGGTGTCGTCGATGCGGTACTTGGTCGTCAGCACCCACCGGTTCTTCATGATGTTCACTCCGCGTGGGCGTTCGACCAGCTCCCAAGTGCCCATGCCGATGAGGCTGCGGATCTCTTCTTCCATGGCGGCCTTCACCGCCGGGCCCTTCCAGCTCGCCAGCGCCTCCTTCACCGTCATCATGGCGATGTCCCAGCGGTATTCGGGGTCGGCATGCACGTCGGGGTCGAGCTCTGGCGGGTCGTCATCCTCCTCGGCGTCATCGTACAGCAGGTCGTCGTCGACCTCGTCGTACACCGTGGTGAAGGCAGCTGGTGGCAGGCAGGCGTGGGCGTGGTAGCTCAGCTTCTCCGGCGGCCGTCGAGGTGTCCGTTGGCGAGTGCGCCTGGGTCCGCCCCGACGCCGGCCCATACTTCGCCTTCCACACCTCCAGCGACAGCGTCTCGTAGAAGATCACCTCGACCGACGTGACCACCTTGTTGTCGGTCAAGTCCAGCACCTCCCAGCCCTTGCTCTCCAGCGACACGCCCAAATGAAGACCCCAGCGAGCCTTCGGTGCCAACTTCCCACCGCGCTGCTGCTCGGGAACCATGAACTGCACCATGCAGCCCCACACTCGCGCCAGCGTGAGGTCGTGCTTCGTCCCGGTTAGCAGCTGGTACGGAGTCGTCCCCGGCGGCGTCGTCGACCGCTCCAAGCAGTTGCGCACCCAGACGGCCTGTCGAAGAGCGAGGTGCCACCAGTGGTGCGGCACACCCATGTGCAGCAGCATCGTCCGCACGGACTCGACGTCCGTACGCATCTCCCGCTCAGCCATGCCGTTCTGCTGCGGAGTGTAGGGGCACGTCAGGTCGTGGACGATGCCCTTCCCGTCGACGAAGGTGGTGAAATCCCGTCCGAGGAACTCCCCTCCCCGGTCAGAGCGGAGAGACAGCGCCGACTTTTTCGTCTGCCGTTCCACCAGCACCAGCCACTTCTGAAACTCCCGCAGCACGTCGCTCTTCTTAGCGACCGGCATTGTCCACACAAACCGAGTGTGGCGATCCTTCAGCAGCAGGAAGTACAAGCTGCCATCCTTGGCAGCCACCCGAAATGGCCCGCACAAGTCAATGTGCACGACAGCCAGTGCCTCCTCGGCGTCCGAGCCCTTGTCGGGGAAGGTGTGCCGCGCCAGCTTTCCTCCGACGCACGAAACGCACGGCGGGTCTGCTCCGGTCGACGGCGTGATGTCGAGCCCAGTAGCAACTTCATGCTTCGCCGAGCTCTTGATCGTGTCGACGCTGATATGAGCAAGCCGCGCATGCATCCTGTCGGGGGTCGCCTTCGTTGCCGAGATGATTTTCCGCAGAGCCACCACCTCGGTCGACGGCAACGGCGTCGAGCAAGGGCGAAGGTCGGTGCAGAGGATTCGTCCGGTGTAGCGTGCTCGACCGAGCACCTCCCCGGTTGCGGCGACGAGCAGCAAGTCGTCGCCGTCGCCCTGGAACTGCACTCCACTCTCCTTCAGTTGGCCAGATGACAACAGATTCGCATGTACCCCCGGAACGTAGAGCACGTCGGGGATGAGGACCCGCTTTCCGGCCTCCCCTTGTAGAGCGACGGTTCCGCGACCCTCGACAGGCTGCAACGCCCCATTGAAGCCGCGCACTTGCTTCACCTCGTCGCTCGGCGCCATGTCGACGAAGGCCGCCTTCGTCCCCATCAGGTGGTGGGAGCACCCGCTGTCGAGCAGCACCGCCATCGGGTCAGCTTGCACAGCTGCCGCCACCGCCTGGAAGTCCTCGCCAGCCTCCGGCGCCAGCGAGACTGTCGGCTCCACCACGCCGACCATCGAGCACGACGCCTCCCCGTCGCCTCGGTCCTTGCCGCTGGAGCTGTCGACTTCCTTCGTCGACGACGCCTTCTTCGACGCCTTCTTCTCCTTGCGCGGCTTCTCATCTCGACGTGGGCGACGGCTGGCCGATCGACCGCGGCCTCCCTTGCTGTCGTCCTCGTCGCTGTCATCGCGGTCGGGGCATTCGAAGGAGAGATGGTCGGGATCGCCACAGATCCAGCACTCCCGCCGTCGACCACCACCTCCACGACCCTTGCCCCGCGTAGACTTCTTCTCGTCGACGTCCTTCGTCGACCGCCCACCTCCGCTACCACCTCCGCCCGACTTCCCGCGCTGCCCTTGCTGCTGATTCAGCTTCGTCGGTGCAGCGTAGTTTGCCTGCGGAAGGAGCTCCGTGGGCTGTTCGGCCAACTGCATCGCCTCGTCTTGGAGGATGTAGCTGGTGATGGAGTCCTCATCAAGGGACTCACGCGTGCCGGGCACCATCATCATCCTCTTCATGAGGTTGTAGCTGCGCGGCAGGCCCTTGACGAGGTGGGTGATGTAGGACGCCGTCGAGTACTCGGCGCCCGCCATCCGCATCTCCGCCAGGATCCGTCGAGCACGGTTGCAGTAGTCCGTCGCCGACTCCTGCTCGCCCATCCGAATGTGAGTCATCTTCTCCTCCAGCTGGCCGATGTACAGGTCGTCCTTAACCTGGTACGTCGACAGGATGAAGCGCCATGCCTGGTGACCAGCATCAAGTCGCTCTCGACAGCTCCTGAGCGCTAGCTGCACCACCGGCGAGCAGCACCTCGAGATGACCATGAACGTGAGCAGGTGAGCAGCGCGGAACTCCCCGCGCAGCTCGGCATCCTCCTCGGGCGGAATGGGCACGGTGCCTTCGGCGAAGCCCTTTAGCCCGGCGACCTCCAGCTGAGGTTCGATCGACTCCCTCCAGGTGATGAGGTCCCGTCGACCTTGCAGCGGGGCGACGGTGATTCGGTCCGGCGAGAATTTGAAGTAGCCATACGCCGGCGCAATCCCGCCCGCAGTCACATGCGTCGTCGCCGAGAAGCCTCCACCACTTCGTAGAGGAGAGCGACGTCGACCATCCACATCGACACGCGAGCTGCCTGCAGCCGCCGTCGACCGCTGCACTCGCGCCTGAATCCCGTCGACGCCACCGTCGACCTTGATCACACCTCTCTGCCTCGTGCCTTCGCTGCCGCTGACTCGAGCACCTCCGTCGACCTCGACGTCGACGCCACCTTCGTTTCGTGCCGGTCGAGGAGATGCAGGACGGGAAGGGTGTTCCGTCGCCCACTGCGCCCGGATGCCCAACTCGACGATCGTCAAGGGGATCGTCCCGTACTCGCCATCCGCGTGGCGTCTCCTCCCATCAGCTAAGCGTGTCTCCAAGGTGTCCGCTACACCCGCTTCTACAGCGAGGTCGACCATGGCGACTAACTCTGCTGCCGGCCTACAAACGACTTAGTAGGTGCAAAAGTCGGCTCCTATCTGAAGGTCGCGTGTTCGTTCCACGCTCACCGCACCATGCGGAGATTCACTCTACAACGGTAGTGAGCTAGACTACGGGGGTTGGCACGAACTACTAGGAGTGATCGTAGCTTTGCTTGGTTCCTTAGTGCTTGCACATTCACGGGAGAAATTGGCAAGAGTTTCCACTAGCAAAGTTGGAATTACAGAATAAGACATTCAACAAGCAATGACAGAATGGACTACATCAGGCACCTAGCAACTCTGCAGCTAGCCTGGTCGACCGCCAGCACTGCATGGTCGACCGCCTGCCAGCGTTGCGTAGAGGAGCCGCGCCAGCACTGCAGAAAGGCGACCTGCCAACACTGCAGGTCGACGGCGTGCCAACGCTGCAGCAAAGCGGCTGTCCAGCGTTGCCTCGTAGAAGGCAGCAATGCGCATGCTCACAGGTGCGCGCAGACGATTGGCCCGACTTGCATTGCTGTGCATCCGTCGGCTGTTGTCTGCGCCTGACGAGCCACATCGACTTCGGGATACCAGCCCGCAGTCGCCTTCGCCATCGCGATCTCGACGACGTTCGCGTGCCTCCGCCGAACTCGTCGAGCAGGTTACCCGGTCGACCTGGACACCACCAGGTACTCCCGGTCGACCACCCGGTGCCTCCGGTCGACCACCAGCCCTTCTGGTCGACCACAGCTCCCGACGAGCTACCCCCTGGTCGACGGACCCCTTCCGTCGACCAGAACTGCTTCGTTGACCTCCCGGTCGAGCTGCAGGTCGACGGGATGCTTCGCGGACCTCCCGGTCGAGCTGCAGGTCGACGGGATGCTCCCGAGACCTCCCCGTCGAGCTCTAGGTTGACGGACTGCTCCGTCGACCTCCCGGACGGCCCACCCATCGCCCAGGCCAGTCAGTTGCGCCCGTCGAGCACCCCTGGTCGACGGAAGCTCCACAGTGACATCCTGCAGCTCGACGAAGCCCGTCGAGCAGCTCCTTCACTGCGAACGGTCGGCTGCTTCACCCGTACATCCGACCAAGTCGTCGGCGTTGCCCAAGCGAGGGCGGGGCCAACACTCCATTCCCGTTAACACGTGTGACGGGGGATTGGGGTCGTTGGGTGCAGTGGGCATGCTCTGCTGTGCCGTGCTGGGTGCAACGGCTGGTGGTGTGGGTAGGACATGCGGATGGGGTGCTGTGTTCTGTGCTACGGCATGGCCTGCAGGGTTGGGAGCAATGGGTACTGCACGGACTGGGTGTACAAAAATAGGTGCTTGCACCTGGCTGAATGGATGGATTGGGATATGGTTGAATGCAAATCGCTGGGATGGATAATGGAGGTTGGGAGGAGGGTGGCTTTGGCTGTACGGTTGCCATCCACCTTGGTTTGGGGTTGCACCGCCGTGTCCCGCGAAGGCGGCAGCTAGCTGATGGTAGCCAAACGTGGCTCCAGGATGCTGGTGGGAAAAGGGAGGTGGGGCCTCTGTGTGAACTCCTGCTGCCGCTGGGTTGGAAGGCTCAGGGAGGCTGCTGAGCACTGCACGGCAGTTCCTCCACTCCGGCCACCGCTTAGCATCCACAATCCGCTTAACCCCTTTCGACATCAACCCCTCCAAGCACCTCCTGTCCTCCTCGTTCAACTCCACCATCTTTGAGCCGGAGAGGGACGGTCGGCAGATGTGAGCGGCTGCGGCATAGGCTGTTGCGGCTTCCAGGATGTCGGTGTACTGTCCCAGCGCTAAAAATTTGCCTCTAGGACCATCTACACACAGCTTCGCCGCCCACTTACCTTCCCGTTTGCTTACTCTTGTATAACCTGAGCTAGGAGCTCTACCACGCGCGTTATTGCGACTCGTCGTCTCTGTCCCTGCGCTGTATGCTGACACCAAATCTACATCGGCGTTCGAGGCTGTCAACCCATGCCCAGTCCCCACGGCCTCGCCAGCACCCACGGCATCGCCAGCACCCACGGCCTCGCCAGCACCCACGGCCTCGCCAGCACCCACGGCCTCGCCAGCACCCACGGCCTCGCCAGCACCCAGCAAGCCTCCAGCACCCTCAGCACGCACCCCCACTTTCGCACTGTTACTCCTCGCACCCGCGGCCACAGGACCCTCTCCATGTGCCCCTCCCATGCTGTCGTGTGTGCCAGCATTGACCCTATCCTTGTCTTCCACACCTGCCTGTTCACCAGTTCCACCGTCCCCTGCCTCATCACACTCCGAGTCCTCCCCACAGCTGATTTGACTCCCATCCTCCACGTCAAAGTGCTCCTTGAATACTTCATCTGTGGTATCTGCCTCCGCCTCACTGTCGGACGTGGTTGCAGCATTGTGTCTCTCATTCTCGCCTGCCAAAGAAGGGTGCGCGGATGTGGTTGCTGTCTCACGATCAAGTGGTTGCATGTTGTCTACAGCCGCCGATTGAGGATGCATGTCTCTAGGTCGTTGACGGGTATGATCTGCAGTTGGCATGGGGGGCAATCCACGGTCCCTTTGGGGCGACTGAGATGGAAGCTGCTGAGAATGCTGCCGCTGAGATGAAGGCTGCTGGGTTGATCGTTGCTGAGTTGAATGCTGATGTACTCTTCTGTGCCTTGACGGTATACGTTGAGATGATGGCCGCTGAAGTGGATACTGCCGAGCGTGTGGCAGCTGAGACCGTCCCTGCAAAGATGCTGGTGGTTGTGTCACCGGTTGCTGTGATGGTCGTTGCTGAGATGTTGCCTGCTGAGAAGGTTCCTGCTGTGATGGTGCCTGCTGCTCTCCTCTGCGACCACTCCTCTTTTGCCGCCGCACTTCCATCCTTTCCATTCTCGCTCTTCTTGCAGCACCCGTGCGACTTGTTAACCCATCCCCCGTCTCTGGTTCCCGTGCACGCTGGTTGGCCCCGCGTCCGCCTCGGCTCTGCTGCGCACTGGCCTCCTCGACCCCAAAGAGATAGTTAGCCATTGCTGCACATTCGGCCTGGCATCTCCTCACGAGTTTGCCAAACTTCCGCTTGGTGCGGCAGTTGGCGAGCTTCTTGAAGAGTTCGGAGGCGTTGGGGCCAAACTTGAGCACATTCTGCTCCAAGTGCCAGCTGCAAAAGTAGTGGGGGATTTGGGATGCGAAAACTTCTTTAACTGCCGGAATAAAACCCTTGTCACGATCGCTGATGAGGGAGGCATTCTGGGTGGCCGGCCACGACGGAAAATGCTTCAACAAATTCTCACAAAACCACTTCCAACTATCTTTGTTTTCACTCTCGCACAGGCCATAAGCGAGTGGAACAAGCTGGTTATTTCCATCCTTAGCAGCTGCTACCAAGAGCGTGGCCCGTTGCGCACGAATAAGAAATGTACCATCCAAACCTATGACTGGTCGACAGAACCTTAGAGCAGTTCTTGACACGGATGGGGCGACTAAAGCCCGGAAGAAAGCGTGATCCTTTGTCACCAGGTCGAGCGTTGAATCAGCGTCAATCTCTTTGAAGTGTTCCAACACCCGCGGAATGTACCAGAAAGACGTTTTCCAATCCCCAAAACGTTCCTTCAGCATCTTATCCTTGAGCCTGCAAAACGGACGACGGTGTGCAAGAGAACAAAAGGAGGTGGCACAAACATGAGGTGGATGGGATGATTGAGAACTTGCATGTGACAATAGCAGTCATGTGAAATGAATGCTTGGAAACTTACCGCCAAGATTGCTTATAATTAATATCGGGACCACCGGTAGACGCAATCTGTTCCTTGTACGTCCCGGGAGGGTGATGTGGTGCAGCTTGGACAAGATTGCCGTGATGACGCTGCAGATAGGACACTTGATTTGTCGTTTGTTTCACGTAGCGGTCCCGATCAACGAGTGAGCAGCAGTCGGATGATGGGGCAGACAGTTTATCGACATGCCAAAACCCACCCACTCCATTAGTAGAGTACTTACACCGCCACCGGCACGGGGGTTTACGACGCTCATGTTGACTCATGCATATGGCTTTGGCTCTGTTTCGCCTACTCCTCGTAACCCTAAATCCGAAGTTGCAAGCTACGGAATAGTCCTCGAGTGCTTCGTACAAAAATCGCTTAGACGAGTAAAGTTGACCTTCACACAACGGTGCTTGATCATCTATGACGATTTGTGGCGAGGGAGCCTCGTTGACGACCATTTCCCGGAGCAACGCACGGTACATATCGCTTTGCTTTGGCTCTCCAGTTCCAACGAAGCAAAACTCTGTGTCGTCATTGCCTGAGTCGGACTCTGTGTTAGAAGTATATGACGGCGAACTCATTGTGGCAAATAGGAGCGTTCTAACCGTAGGCCCTCCTAGATGAACCTACTATAAGGACCTAACTGGTCTAATCAAAGGCTAAGGTGTATGTCAACCCTAAAACGACGAGAAGAAATGGTGTGAGCGATCTCTAGCATATGGGTCAAATGGTACAGCGCGGGAAGATGGAAAGGGCGTACAAAACAAGATTGAGCGCCTTAATACAAACCTAATTGGCTAGAGTTTAACTTTTGTGCGAGTGTGTTTAGTATATGATTTGCGGGTGTTAACGGGAATGGAGCGTTGGCCCCGCCCTCGCTTGGGCAACGCCGACGACTTCGTCGGGTGTACGGGAGTAGCAGCCGACCGTTCACAGTGGGAGAGCTGCTCGACAGGCTACGTCGAGCTGCAGGGGACCGCTGTGGTGTTGCTGTCGACCAGGGAGCTCGACAGCTGCAACTGACTGGCCTGGGCGACGGGTGGGCCGTCCAGGAGGCCGACGGGGCATCCCGTCGACCTACTGCTCAACGGGGAGGTCTCCGGAGCATCCCGTCGAACTGCAGTCGACCGGGAGGTCGACGGAGCAGTTCTGGTCGACGGAAGGGGTCCGTCGACCAGGGGGTAGCTCGACGGGAGCTGTGGTCGACCAGAGGCACCTGGTGGTCGACCAGAGGCAGTGGTGGTCGACCGGAAGCACCTGGTGGTGTCCGGGTCGACCGGGTAACCTGCTCGACGAGTTCTGCGGAGGCACGCGAACGTCGTCAAGGTCGCGATGGCGAAGGCGACTGCGGGCTGGTATCCCGAAGTCGATGTGGCTCGTCAGTCGCAGACAATAGCCGACGGATGCATAACAAAGCAAGTCGGGCCAATCGTCTGCGCGCACCTGTGAGCGTGCGCACTGCTGTCTTCTACGGGGCAACGCTGGACAGCCGCACAGCTGCAGCGTTGGCACACCGTCGACCTGCAGTGTTGGCAGGTCGCTCTTCTGCAGTGCTGGCGCGGCTCCTCTACGCAACGCTGGCAGGCGGTCGACCATGCAGTGCTGGCGGTCGACCAGGCTAGCTGCAGAGTTGCTAGGTGCCTGATGTAGTCATTCTGTCATTGCTTGTTGAATGATTCTGTATTCTCAATCTTTGCTAGTGGAAACTCTTGCCAATTTCTCCCGTGAATGTGCAAGTGCTAAGGAACCAAGCAAAGCTACGATCCCTTCTAGTAGTTCGTGCCAACCCCCATAATCTAACTCACTACCGTTGTAGAGTGAATCTCCGCATGGTGCGGTGAGCGTGGAACGGCCCCGCAAATTACCTTCAGATAGGAGCCGACTTTTGCACCTACTAAGTCGTTCGTAGGCCGGCAGCAGCGTTAGTCGCCATGGTCGACCACGTCGGTGATACGGGCGTAGCAGACACCTTGGAGACACGCTTGGCTGATGGGAGGAGACGCCACGCGGATGGCGAGTACGGGACGATCCCCTTGACGATCGTCGAGTTGGGCATCCGGGCGCAGTGGGCGACGGAACACCCTTCCCGTCCTGCATCTCCTCGACTGGCTCGAAACGAAGGTGGCGTCGACGTCGAGGTCGACGGAGGTGCTCGAGTCAGCGGTGTGATCAAGGTCGACGGTGGCGTCGACGGGATACAAGCGCGGGTGCAGCGGTCGACGGCAGCTGCAGGCATCTCGCGTGTCGACGTCGATGCTCGACGTCGCTCTCCTCTACGAAGCGGTGGAGGTCTCTCGGCGACAACGCACGTGACGACGGGTGGGATTGCACCGGCGTATGGCTACTTCAAGTTCTCGCCGGACCGAATCACCGTCGCCCCGCTGCAAGGTCGACGGGACCTCATCACCTGGAGGGCCTCTGTTGGAGGTCGCCGGGCTGAAGGGCTTCGCCGACGGCACCGTGCCGTTTCCGCCCGAGGAGGACGTCGAGCTGCGCGGGGAGTTTCTCGCTGCGCACCTGCTCACTTTCATGGTCATCTCGAGGTGCTGCTCGCCGGTGGTGCAGCTAGCGCTCAGGAGCTGTCGAGAGCGACTTGATGCTGGTCACCAGGCATGGCGCTTCATCCTGTCGACGTACCAGGTGAAGGACGACCTGTACATCGGCCAGCTGGAGGAGAAGATGACTCATATTCGGATGGGCGAGCAGGAGTCGGCGACGGACTACTGCAACCGTGCTCGACGGATCCTGGCGGAGATGCGGATGGCGGGCGCCGAGTACTCGACGGCGTCCTACATCACTCACCTCGTCAAGGGCCTGCCGCGCAGCTACAACCTCATGAAGAGGATGATGATGGTGCCCGGCACGCGTGAGTCCCTTGATGAGGACTCCATCACCAGCTACATCCTTCAAGACGAGGCGATGCAGGAGGCCGAGCAGCCCACGGAGCTCCTTCCGCAGGCAAACTACGCTGCACCGACGAAGCTGAATCAGCAGCAAGGGCAGCGCGGGAAGCCGAGCGGAGGTGGTAGCGGAGGTGGGCGGTCGACGAAGGACGTCGACGAGAAGAAGTCTACGCGGGGCAAGGGTCGTGGAGGTGGTGGTCGACGGCGGGAGTGCTGGATCTGTGGCGACCCCGACCATCTCTCCTTCGAATACCCGACCGCGAGGACAGCGACGAGGACGACAGCAAGGGAGGCCGCGGTCGATCGGCCAGCCGTCGCCCACGTCGAGATGAGAAGCCGCGCAAGGAGAAGAAGGCGTCGAAGAAGGCGTCGTCGACGAAGGAAGTCGACAGCTCCAGCGGCAAGGACCGAGGCGACGGGGAGGCGTCGTGCTCGATGGTCGGCGTGGTGGAGCCGACAGTCTCGCTGGCGCCGGAGGCTGGTGAGGACTTCCAGGCGGTGGCGGCAGCCGTGCAGGCGAACCCGATGGTGGTGCTGCTCGACAGCGGGTGCTCCCACCACCTGATGGGGACGAAGGCGGTCTTCGTCGACATGGGGCCGAGCGACGGCGTGAAGCACGTACGTGGGTTCAACGGCGCCTTTCAGCCTGTTGAGGGTCGCGGAACTGTCGCTCTGCAGGGGGAGGCCGGGAAGCGGGTCCTCATCCCCAACGCTCTCTACGTTCCAGGCGTACATGCGAACCTGCTGTCTTCTGGCCAGCTGAAGGAGAGCGGAGTGCAGCTGCAGGGCGACGGCGACGAGATGCTGCTCGTCACAGCGACCGGGGAGGTGCTCGGTCGAGCACGCTACACCGGACGAGTCCTCTCCACTGACCTTCGCCCCTGCTCGACGCGGTCGCCATCGACCGAGGTGGTCGCTCTGCGGACGATCGTCTCGACGACGAAGGTGACTCCCGACCGGCTGCACGCGAGGCTCGCGCACGTCGGCATCGACACGATCAAGAGCTCGGCGAAGCATGAAGTGTCAAACATTGCATGTTTATATTGTCTAGGCTGTAGTGGGTTACACCTTAGGGGATACACAAAGTTAGGGTTTACTACTTGTACCAAACTCTGTTCTAGTTCATCCATTCCTGCTCAGTTATTTCTGACATGGTTTCAGAGCAGGTCCTTCGCTAGGACTGTTCTTAGGGCCCACCGACTTACCTACCTGCTTACCTTCGCTTGTTTCCGGCCCCGCTGGCCCCGTCGATCTAGCACGATCTAGCGGCCCTGCGGCCCCGTCGAAATTTTTTTTTTTTCCTAGCGGCCTCTCACGGCCCCCGTCGCGTCGCCCCTTAGCGCCCCGATCGGCCCCGTCACGCCGCCCGCGAACCGCACAGCGCGCCGCGCTCACAGCCCGCGAACCGCCCGCGCACAGCCCGCGACCCGCCTGCGCAGCCCGCGACCAGCCCGCGCAGCCCGCGCACAGCCCGCGAACTGCCCGCGAGCAGCCCGCGACCTGCCCGCGAACCCCCGCGAGCCGCCCGCGACCCGCTTACGCAGCCCGCGAGCAGCCCGCGCAGCCCGCGCTGAGCCTGCGCGGCTCGTGCGCTGACCGCCGCCGGCCCGCACGCTGCCCGCACTGCTCCCGGCCCGCCGCTGCTGAGCCCGCAGCCGCCCGCGCACCGCCGCTGCTGAGCCCGCCGCCGCCCGCGCACCGCCGCTGCTGCGCCCGCTGCCGCCCGCGTATCACCGCTGCTGAGCCCGCCCCTGCTGCGCCGGCTCTCGCTGCCGCCTGCTGCGCCTGTGCACCACTGCAGATCCTACTACTACACTTCCTGCTACTGCTGCTTGTGCGCCACTACAGTCCGTAGGCCCCACCGGCCCTGCTGACCCTGCGCACGCCTGTTCAGTGACTTTACTGCTTCTACTACTGCCGCTGTCGCTATGGCTAGTCCTCCTGTTCTAGC